AATAAACCTAAATAAGACCATAGTACCTTAAGTTATGAAATATAAATCACGAAATTAACACCAGAATTGTCTGTTAAATAATACCAGAAGAAAACAAAATTAACACCAGAATCACATCCAGCATACCAAAGTAATACACAAAATGCAGCGAAAAGAAAACTGTAATAATACCATAATACTACAATAATAATACCTCTAAAAAATCTGAATTTGTTAAATAATATCAAACACACGTGACACCACTGAAATAATTAGCCAAATAAAAACTGAATAATATTACAACACCCGAATTACACCTCAATAATGTTTGAATATAACATCATTAATGACAGAATATCTATATTTCTACCTAAATCATTAACCATAAACACGCTAACAATAAAGGAAATATCACTGAAATAACACCTGATATTTGTTGCATTGTATTATTTTTGTAGATTTGTGAACCCAATGTCCATGAGCTGTAGATGTCAGTCATCTGTACTGAGAGATTTGTTGGATAAGGTCGGGCTTAATATCTGAGGACACAAGGAATGAGCTGAAAGCAATGAATGTTGATCATTTTTTGGAGCTCCCTCCTTATCCTCAAGAGAATGTGTTGACACTACAAATTTTGCAATGTTGGCAATATGAAAAATAAGTTTTCAGAATGGTAGGGTAAGAGCTAAGACTGCTGCCCGATGAAATTATCCAGCGCATTGGCATGTCAAAGAGAGGTGAAATGTCAAAGTTGAGTAAATGTCCATCTTGTGGTGTGAATGCCCAACAGATGAAGAATAAACTTTAGGACTTCGCAAGAGGGGAGTCTTCTACCCCTTTTGCTAAATTGTTTGTTATCAAATTTATTTTTTCCTTCTAGTAATTTTATTATACCTGAAGGACTTAACACATTTGGGGAGAATATACAAACTTTTGCCTCATTTAACTGGTCTGTTGCGCTTTGCGATTTTTTTATTGAGTAAATTAATGCAGTGACCATCAAAATAATGTGAAACTGGCCTATTAGATACTTAAATGGTTTTCTTTATTTGCTAACGGTTAGTATCTCGTATAAGCTGAATATCTTTATTATTTATGAGCAACATATATATTGTTTCTGTGCAAAGCTGAATATTACTTATTTTTTATGCAGCTCTGATTTTTTTAGCATACCTCTGTGATAACTCATGCCGCTGCTGAGGTCATACCCCGAATGTTGAGGTAGCCTACATAGGTTAGCTTAAACTCCTCACAGATAGATATATTCTTTAAGAGGCTTAACACTAAACAGGTCGGTCATTTACACCGCTGTTAAGGAATTTATTTTTGGAATATAGATTAACGTATTTTTTCCCTGAAACAAATTGCAAGTTAACTATAAATTTATGGATCTGAAAAAGGAGCGCAATTTGCTAGCCAATCCAGATGAAAGACTACCCAGTCCAGCACCAGCTATGCAATTTGAAGACCGTCAGACTCAAGTCAGAGCAGAACCCCCTGTATAATTTGATATGGGGTCAGTGTTCTCAGGAGATACTGCCCCGGAGCCAATTCATAGTGCAATGAACAAAAACTTCGAGGCAATAATTGATCTGATTACAGGACATGAGAAATGGTTCAATGAATTCCAAGGAACGTTGAATTCAATAACTATTGAAGTTTCGGGTTTGTAGGACCAAATATTGGTAATGTAGAATAAATTTGATATATATGAAAAAGACGGAGCTGATAGACGCACGGTGCTGGAGGAAGAGTATGCCCAGCCCCCCTCCCCCCTGTCGGAATCTCGCCTGTTGATGAATAAAATCAGTTTAACGAAGAGGGAACCTATCAAACATCTCCTGTTGAATAGACACTATTGAGGAAAGGGGTTTACAAGAAAAATGCTCAACTGTTGGAATGTCTACCAAAGTTACACAATCGATTCCCAGCTTAATGCAAAGGGTTAAGGGCCGACGCAGTCACAGGAAAAAGGTTTTGAGTTCCTCTTTCACAGCTTTCGAATAGAAAAGAAGAAAAAACAATAAAGGATGTCAATGAGCAACCTGAGCGTGATGAACCAATAACAGATGAAGATATTTCCGCCTCCCCAAAACAAGCAGATGTACAAATTTCAGCCATTGTAGAACAACTACTTGTGGATACTGCCGCCACCTCAGAACAGCCCAATGTAGATAATTCATCAACCATAGAGCAACCAACTCTAGATATCTCTGCAGTTGCAGGACAACAAGTTGTAGATATTGTGTCAACAACAGAACAAGAATTTGTAAATATTTTGTCATCAATTGCTCAAACAATTGTAAATTTAAACAGAAGCATTAGCACCCCAAAAGGAAATCAATAAAAGGCTACAATACATAAATCACACCATCATAATACCCTAATAAACCCAGATAACACCATTACAATGTTAATATAACTGAACAATCAAACCGCGTTGTTAGATCGAAATATGTGACTAACACCATCATTAAAAGCCTATAATACACAAATAGCACCGTAATAACACCTGGTAATGCCCGGATAACACAATTAGAACGTTAACATAACACTCTGATAAAACATCTTATTAGATCAAATAACACTAGAATAACACCATGATAATACATAAATAACACCACACCACCACCCCACAAAATAGGAAATATTACATGAAAAAAACACCCGCATAACACCACAATAATACAAGCATAACACCATTAAAAGTCAAAATAATACTCCAACACAAAATAAAGTCATCAGATCCAATATTACTTTAATAACACCATGATATTACCATAATAATATCAAATCCTCACGACAGTTAAGTTACAAGTAAATAATACAGTGATAACACCAGAATAGCTACCCATTAACACCATTACGGCAACGAGAATAACACTTCATTAAGACAGTTATTTAACCCAACACTATAAAGAACAATCAGAAAATAAAAACCACTCTGAAAACAACTAGTATAGCACCGTGATATTACCTAAATAACACCACGTCCCACACTAACTGAAACTTAGTGTTATATATCAAATAAAAACAAAGCAAACTTGATTAATAAAATAAATATTCCTTCAAACATAAATCCGCAATAAAACAAATATAACCTACCTGCCGAATACCTTCTGTCACAGCTAAACTCATGTCATTCTCATGATTCTCGAAAATATTTTGAGATTCCGGCTTATTGTCGTGTTTCTCGCAAGTATCTTGAGATTCCAGCAACATTTCCTCGTCATGAAATACTTCCATCGAACCCTATCCACCGAATATGAATGGATCCCTAGAAAGGCAACGAAAAGAGAATATCCCCAATCCCTAAAGTTAAAGGAGACGATACGCCTTCTCCCAATTGGCGGGAAACAAAAAAGACAAAAATACGCTTTTTTGGTGCTTGGGTAGGACTCAGGCTGGGTCGGAAGCAAAATAATAGAGTTTTGCGAGAGTGAGGTCAGATCCCACGTGTCATTACGTGATTGGATTCCGCACGTAAGCTTGTATATGTTGCCCGTATGGAATAATTTTTTGTTGCCTACAGATGATATCCTCAAAATGAAAGGGTTGAGAGGCCCCTCCAGGTGTTGTTTATGCAAGGCAGCTGAGGAATCCTCAATCCACGCATCTTTGAGTTCCAATTTTCATAAATGTCTAGTTGGAGTTCATTAAGAACTTGGAGATCAACACAATTTTGTTGGATTGGCAACATTTTACTGAATATTGGTATGGCTGGCAAAAGGCTAAATTAGGTACCATTCCTAGTATCACTGCTTGGTTTATATGGATGGCAAGGAACCAGATTAAGTTTGAGAGACTCTCTCTACTGTTTTGCAAGTGGTTACCAACTGCAAAGCTTTTCTAAAAAAACTTATTAAGCATAAGAAGTTCCCTAATAAAAGCAGAATTAATCTGACCAACTACACACTCAACTTCTCTGTCATAAAAGTACTCTGGAATAGGTTAGTTTATCCTACTATCAAGGTTAACACTGATAGAAGCTTCTCAACAAATGGAGTTGGGATTGGTGGAGTGTTCAGAGATTGCATTGGCAATTGCTTACTATATTTCTACTCCCCTTTACTAGTTTTGGATGCATTGGAAGCAGAAGTTGCTATTGTTTTTTGGGTCAAGTTGGCTACTATGAATCATTGGGTCTCTGCAAGTGGAAATGGATTCCTCTCTCTTACTAAAGACACTAACTAAGACGGAGAACTCTTCATGGCATACCTTACAATGAATTAAGAAAATTCATTTCTTGAGGGCTCAAACACATCCAGTTTTTATTTGTCCATAGGTAGGGTAATAAACCTACTAACTGGTTAGCCAGACATGATAGAGAGACTGAAAATGTTCATGTTTCCTCTACTCCTCCCTCTCTAAGTTTTTTGTTTCATGGGACCTTTTAAATGTCCCCTACCATAGAATTGTAACATATTTTTGCGATTAATAGAATTTTCCATTTCGCCATATATATATATATATATATATATATATATAATCAAAACTTAAACTCAAGATATCAATATCTTAAATATAAGGCTTAAGTTATCTCAAAAAAAAGAATAGTAAATAGCAATTTTAAAATAATGAAGCAGGCATCATCACCACTTTAAAATCTTTAAACTCAAAATTTGAATATATTAATATTTATATATAAAGCTAAAGTTTTCTCAAAAAAAGATAATAGCAAATAGTATATTTTTTTTTTAAATGAAGCAGGCATTATGCCACTCTATGACGATAATGCTGCCCATCAGCACATTGTTGTCACTTATAGTGGTGATAAAGTTGATATATAATTTTTTTAAAGTGTTGTTTACTAAATAAAATTCTTGGATTTTAAAATTTCATCGTTATCTAAATTTTTAACTCAAAAAAAGGCTCATGAACATCTAAAATGACTTGATGGAATCAATTAAAAAGCAACCTAAGCTTTAGAGTATGTTTTGTTGCATGATCCTTTATATAATATCAGGAACTTAATCCTGGTCTCCTATGCTATCATCAGGAGGGTTCTAGCACACATTTACCTTCATCCTCGGGGATGTCAGAGGTCCACAAAGTAAGGTTATCCCTGAGAAGTTGCATGATCAAAGTACTATCCTTGTATGACTCTTCACTCAAAGTATCCAGCTCCGATATGGCTTCATCAAATGCTTGTTTGGCAAGGTGGCAAGCCCTACAAAAAAGTCAACAAATGCGATCAGAATTATTAATTAAATATTAGCAATTTTCTTCAAAAGTGGTGATATCATTGAGGACTACACCTTTCGGGTGAGTTCATAATCTCATAGTAGAATACTGAAAAATTCAAAGCCAATCCAAGCCGAATTGGGTGTGTAGGAGACAGATCAGCTTCGGCTGTGCTAGAAGCCATCTGCAAATAGCATGATCAATTGATTTAATCAAACAATTAAACCAAACCGCACCACAAGTGAAACTACCAAATTCTGGCAAGAAAAACCTCAAACTGAATAACAAAAGAACAGAAACTGAGTTGAACTTTTAGAAAGCATGAAGTTACAGAGATCACAAAAGCTGAAAATAGGAAAGAGCGCAACCAATCCATAATAACTGAATTAGTAAGTATAAAGCCCAAACTTCAACTAAGAAATAATACCATTAAAAGTAAATGTACAAGGTAATTTATATCATGGGAATGAGGTACTCTTGTCACTAGAGGAAGAAATATACAACATAGATATACACTTAATGGCAATGATGATCTCTTCACATATAAAATCAAGATCCATGAGAGGGATTCATAAATCCATCATCAACTCAACAAGAAGCATCAGTCGCAAGCTTTTTCTACTGGAGATTCCAGAACAGTTGTTCACCCTTATAGATGCCATATCCATTTGTTCACTTTCCTAATTTATGAGAATCAAAATTGCCAATCCATTGGATTTTGCTCTATATAAGAGAGATCTCATATTCAGTAATTTATTTTAGTGACTGCCCAAGAAATATTCTAGTGAAGAATACTCCAATTTTTACCAAGCCTAACAAGCTTTAAAAAATGGCAAAGCCAGACACCAATGGTTATAGAGCAGAAATTAAAAAAAAAAAACAAGGACTCCAAAATAGACTGCAATAATAAAAGAAACAATAAATCAGCACAAAAGGTCGTCAGCAGCAGCAGATGTTCATATCAAGTATTTGACTGATGTAGAATGCATAATATCATTTCAAATAATAAAGTTATCGGATAAAGAAACTTTACTTGCAGTGGTGAACTGAGCGGCAAGTCATTTATGTTTCTTTGCAAAATGAAATAGATGGCAGAGATTTATGTATGATAGATAGTGATCATGCAAACTAGAGTGGCACTACATTTCCATGTGCAATAACCCTTTCCTTAGAACTAGTGGATGGATATCATAGTTTGTAGCGGCTCCCCAGTAGCAACCCTTAGCTTTAGAAGGATATCCATTAGAAAAGGAATGAATTAAAAACTTCAGAGAACTAAAGATATACAAATGACTTGTGGCTCTAGGACTTTTGGTTAAGTAAATGCAATAAAGTATGACTAGCCATAAAGAGACTAGCTAAAACAAAAGATTCAGTAAAGCTAGAGAAGCTATCATTGTTGTTCTGTTAGGTTTGAATTTCAATTAGAATGCACTATGTTTTCATGATTTAGTAAATCAAATAAAATTGATCAAGTGATTTAGTTTGTGTATGATGCATAATAGCCAAACAATTGTTATGTACTTGATTTTATAACCCTTATCCTATTAGGGTGAATTTCATTTAGAAAAAAACTATCTTTTGATGCTTTAGTAAATAAAATAAAGTTGATCAAATAATTTAGTTTGGGTATGATTCATAACAGCCATGCAATTGTGATGAAGTTGATTTTATAACCCTTACCCAATTATGGTTTTAGGTTAGTGTAAAAGACAATACACTAATCCAATGAAGCATTTTAAAGTAGACTAAATAAAAACAAACCAACTAAAATCATATAAGATCTTCCCTATAAGACGAAAGCTAAGGGAATCAAGTAATTTAGTTTGGTCTTCTTAGTTTTGATTTCACCCTATAAATGCCTAGTTCAAATTGAAAAATCATGACTAGATGTGAAAATAACTATGAACATAAAAGGAAATAATGCTATAATAAGGTTCAAAATAAATTTTAGGAGTAAATATAAAGCTGCTTTTAAATCAATAAATATATACTTGAGGATCCATGCATCGTTTTGGAATTAGAGGGTCCACTGCTTCCCACACCCATATTAACTCAGCATAAGCTTTGTCCACAGTACAAGTAAAAAAGCATGGCGACTAATCTCAATGAACTTTAGAAAGACCAGCATCAAAACAATGAAGGTGATTTAAAAACTTTGGACAGATGAATAATTTAAGGAATAAGTCGGAGCAAGAAGCAATATTATGCATGGAGTATTGAATAAATCTTCCTCTTTGAGCAGTTTTCTTATGATTATAATAAAGCAATTAACTTCTACACTGCTACACTAAGTTCTCAAAGCATATGCAAAATAGTTTATTTACAACAACACAACACAAGTATGGATTGCATCTCTACAAAATGAGAAATTTGGTGGGATTATATATAAACACAATAGGAACATTTTGGTGAAAAGATCTAAGTGCATAACCTCAGCGTCAAATGTATGCCATAATATAAACACTAACATTAATCATTCATCAAAATGTAGAGAGTAGATTGAAAAGCTAAGCTAAATTCATTCTCTGATGGTTTTGGTCTATGAATGCAATTAATTATGCTAAATTATTCCTTCCAATTGCTTTAGATTTTAAGGGTTGTTTGTTGGCAAGATTTGGTTCAAGCAGGATTTAACCAAAATTTAGCAAACAGTATAATGACAATTTTAAATCCTACAAAATCTTAAATCCAATTAGTCCCCCATTTTACCTTAAACTTAAGTCAGCAAATCGCTCACCAACTCCTCTTCTCCTACACAAACCAGTGATTTCAGCGATGCCTTCTCAAACCAGCTCCTACCACAACTTCCTCGTTCCTTTGGCATTGAAGGATTTAGGAATCTGGGAAGCAACATGATGTCCTACTTTTAGAATAAGCAATTTATTATTTTATTTTATAAATTTTGATAAATCATGAATATTAATTGACATTGATTAAATATGACAAATTTGTTACAAAATTAGATTAATATTAATTAACTAAGAATATTAATAATTCAATGGGATTTAATTTGTCTAAATATAAATTATTATGTTTTTTAATTAATGATAAATTAAAGTATTAATTTATGCTAACTAAAACTTAACTGATATAACTATAATGGATACTAAAAAAATTGAAGTTATTAATATTCAATCAAGCAAAATAAACATTAAAAGTAAAAAATAAAATTTAAATCAGCCATAACATTTAAAGTTAATTAATTAAAAACTATTAACTTAAAAAATTTGATTTTATTTTTTAGTTTATTTTATGTAAATAGAATAAAATTTAATTAACTAAAAAAACTACAAATTAAAAATTAATTGAAAACTTTAACTACAGAAATTATGATTTAGTTATTTTAACCAAAGTATTATGTAATAATTAATATTAATTAATTGTAAATATTTACTTAAGAAGATTGGACTAGATAGAAATTTAAATTTTGAACAGCTTAATAAGTAACAAAATAATTATTAATAAGAATGTTAGCTTACACTAATTAAGATTTAAATATGCTAAATAAATATAATAAGATATTACAAATTTACAATCATACAATTATTATTAAAATATTATTTGAAGTAGGAGACTTAAATTCTTCAGGCCTTTTGTGTGATAGAAAAGTACCGTCGAGACTAAAAGGAAAATTTTATAAGATGATGGTGAGACCTGCAATGCTCTATGGTGTTGAATGTTGGCCTTTAAAAGAGAAGCCTAATATTAAGTTAAGTGTTGCCAGGATGAGAATGATTAGGTGGATGAGTGGTTTTACATTTAGAGACAAAATGCGAAATGAATATCGTTGTGCTAGGGTTGTTGTACCTCCAATGACGAACAAAATAAGAAAGCGTTATCTTAGATGGTTTGGTCACATTAAATGTCGATCATTTGATGATCTGATTAGGAGAGTAGATGTTTTAGATTTGAATTATGTTAAGAAAGGCAGGGGTATACATAGAAAGACTTTGGCTTATTGTACAAAAAATGATCTTAATTTATTAGAACTAAATGAAAATATGACACTAAGTAGGACGCAATGGAGAAAAAGGATTCATGTAGCCGACCCCACATAGTGGGATTAAGGCTTTGTTGTTGTTGTTGTTGTAGACTTAAATTCTCAAAAAAGCAACCTAATACTCCCTCAAAATTTAACAAGATTTAACCTCTATCACATAAACAATTTTCAAAATTTAACCCCCTCAGTATTTACCGAATCCAGATTTAGAGGATATATTAAAGCCTATTTGCAGTCAAACAGCCCCATACAAGTAGCCAAACATTAAGGATGTAATCCTCAAGCTTATGCACATTAATAACATAATAGCTAAAGTTTGATTCTCTATCAATAGCTAAAGTTGTTTTCTACCAATGCTGCCCAAATTGGAATACGTTAAAGGGGACAGTAAGATGTAGCGTTCTGATAGAAGAGTCAAAACTCGCAAACTTCTTACTTCCAGAGGAACAGAATAAAATATAACTAATTAAGGAACTGAAAGGAAATAATTTGTGATGTCAATGTGCACAAATGGCGTCTTAAAGAAGCTCAACTACACGAGTTAGGCTTTATCACGTCCCCAAAAGCGAAGATTCCTAAAATAGATGCATTGAAGAGCAGATTAGTACTAATTGCAGCTAAATTAAAGAGTAAAAACAATATCCTGACTTGGTACGCCTTGAGAGATTGATCAGCAGCTTCCTTTCGATCATTCCCAGACTTAAACTCTGCCAGATAACGATAATAATCTCCCTTCCTGAAACCAAAATGTTAAGATGTTCACTAAGAACCCAATAAATAAGGCAAGAAATCAAATGAGGGATATCTTTAAGTCATGTCCTCACATCTTGTAGTAGAAGACAGATGACTCCCCAGCAGATGAGGAAGGGACAAGATGCTCGTCAATGACAGTCATAACGTCGCCGCAGATGTTGGATAGCTCCGACTCCACCGTTTGCCTATACTCCCTGATACACTTCACATGCTGATCATTCCCCTTCAATTCCTCCTTCTGCTCAATCGAAGACAAAATCCTCCACGAGGCCCTCCGCGCCCCAATCACGTTCTTGTATCCGACTGACACGAGATTCCGCTCCTCGACCGTAAGCTCCACATCCAGCTTCGCTACCTTCCTCATTGCGTCCACCATCTCTGCGTCGACCCAAAAAAAAAAAAAAAGAATCAAAAGTCAAATCCTAATCCCCTATGCGAGAAAAAGTAGGAGTTTCTGTAGTTCTCACCATCGTAGCGCTCCGCCTGCTCGGCAAGCTTCGCGATGTAGACGAACTTCTCGCGCTCTCCCTGCGAAGCCATGGCGGCCGATAGGATTCGGATCCTCTTCGATCCCTTGTTCAGCCCACAAAAATTCTCACTCGGTCGCTCTCGGTCTTCTGCTTGGCCCGTTCGGGTTGACGAGTGGACCGTCCGGTTTGTGGTTATTTTTTTCGGAAACAACGGCAACCGCTCATGAACTGGAATCGGAACGCATCGACCGTGGTCGATTTAAACCGGTTCATTTATAGTTTATCATTATAATCAACGAGATTATAAATTAAGCACCGTCATATTTATTTATAATTTAATTAATAAATATTTAATATATATTGAGATATCGGA